AGAGTCATTTTTCTGTATATTTAGCTATTCTCAGTGTTCTGCTGATGTCAGCAAATGATCCAAAATCAGCTCCAGGCAGCCACACATCCTCCTCATTCTCTGAGTACACCCTGATGTGCTAAAGCCAAATTGCATCCTAAATGTTGTTCCACAGGATTTTGGGATCAGGTGCCTTGTTTTCAACATCTTTACAGCTAAAATAGTTAAGGAGAAGTTAATTCTGCCATCAGCCCCTTGGTTGGAATGCCCTTGGAGAGGGCATGGGGTGAATCACCCATGAGCTGAGATGTAGTTAGGTTGTGTATTTGTGCATCTTTATAATCCAGAGTTTGATTTGCTGTTTTTCTAATGAGAAGCAGTGCAAAAATACCAAAATTAAAACGTATCAGGCCATTGGAATAGAAAAAACAGCCAGAATCCAGTACCACTGTGGTGTTGTCCTTGGATATAACTCTGCTCTGCAATCCAAAGTATATTCCGGATGATAACACTAACATCAGCTTTTCTCCAGCAAGGGCAAGGATAGGATTGTTATTCCCAGAGACCGTGGGGTCAGGAGAGGGGGAGTCAGTCCAGGCAACAAACCACCCCTTTCCTCCCAAGGAATTTGAGTGTGACACTGGGGAGCACAGGGCAACTGAGGGGTATAGATCCAAGGTAAGTGTTGAGACTGGAAGGTGAGGAAACTCTTGGGAAACAGGTCTTTTGGTCCTCTTGGCACCTTATGGGTTTTTATCTTGGAGGAGAGAGAGAGGAATAGAGTGTTTTCCTTGAAAAGCTGTGAATCCATCTGGCAGGCAGCAGGAAAAGAGCTTGGCTGATAGGTGAGGGTTGGAGAAACTGACGCAGGGCTTGAGGAGCTGTTGGTACTGCAGCAATGACAGCCAAGGCTTTCTTCCCTCCAGGAGAAAAATCACCAACATTCCTTGAACGCCACACGTCGTGCTGATACAATTCCTTTCCTTCAATCACACGCCATGCCAAGGTAAGCACCTGGAATGATCCCAAAAAAAACGTCTCTGCTCCCTCTCAGCACACTCAAGGTTTCCTATAGGGAACTCTTAAAAAGCACCTAGAGGCCATTCCCTACGTAAGGTTGCAGCATCATGAGGTGATTATGATTAAGTTGATTCCATAGTTATTCCCACCCTGGCAGTGCTTGGGATGGGGAGTAGAGAAGCTGTGGGAGACCTGAAGGTTCCACTGGCCTTGGATAGACCCTGGCAGCAGCATTGAGCACTGGTTTGGGAGCTAGACCAGGAGAAAGATGTCGAGCTACTGGGAAGAGTCCAGAGGAATGTTCTCAAGGGGAAATAATCCATTTTCCCATGTCTGTGGTGGAAAATTGAGTAAATAATAACCTTAAATTGCAGCAAGGAATAGTTAAGTAACAATTGCTTAGAATTCAGTCCCTTGGGGCCACCTTGGACATCTCAGCAGCATGAGTTGGATCTGGATCAAGGCAGGGATAGTCCTCTGAAACGTCAGAGATGTGTCTGTGCTTCCAGGTGTTAGGGAGGGTCTGAAATTCATCCCAGTGGCAATATCTGTGTTATTTCAGTGTCAGTTCAGGAGCATTGCCACAGCCTGGGGTGAAGCACCAGGATGCCCCAACCCTGGCAGTGTTCCAGGCCAGGCTGGATGGGGCTTGGAGCAACATGGTCTAGCGAAGGATGTCCTTGCACATGGCAGGGGTTGGAATGGTCCCTTCCAACCCCAACCATTCTGGGATTCTTTGAGGCACAAGTGCTGGACCTTGGAGCTCCTCAGTCTGTGGAATGGGTGGTTTTACCTCCTGTTGTGAGCTGTGTTCAGACCAACTCATTACAATTATGCCTGGGCCTTATCTTAAATCCAACTGTGTATTCCCACTGCTTATCTCAAAACCCGGAGGTCATCCCACACTGACCTTGTCTTTCTTCTTCTTCACAGCCCTCCACGAACTCCAGTAAAAGTTGTGCCTCAAATTAGAATAGAACTTGAGCCTGAAGACAATGGTTATTTCTGGAGGAGCAAGGGAACAGAAACTACTTTGTAATTTGTCTGTCTGTCCAATCTTCTTCGGAATTTCTTTTGTCACTAGCCAAATATTAAACAGCTCTCTGCTCCCCATGGCATAGGTAAATGAGCCACCCCCTGCCCCTCTCCACCCGTGCTCCCAGGTCTCTCCGCGCTGACCAGGACTTGGTTTGCCTTCTCCATGTGCACGTGGCAACGAGGGGTGTCATGTCCTACCTGTGGGAGGTGTCAGAGGCACTGGTCCTTGGGAACTGGTGTTTGTCTGGAGAACCAAGCCGACCTCCAGGCTGATTCCACGTCTGCTCCCCGTGCTCGGAGCCGCCGGAACGTGCTGCTAACCCTCACGCGCTCTCACCTGTAGTGGAAGAGGAGAAGGTACTTCACTCCCAGCACAGACAAACCGATGCCATCGCTGTAGCATGTTTGGAAATGTCCCTTTCCTATGCAAGTTTGGTTTTTTTTTTTGTAAAGGAACACTTTAATGGACTTAATCCGTCAGGTACATGGAAGAGTGTTATTTTCCTAGATTATTTTGTTTAAATTATGGGGGCCTAACCTATGACTTCTTTTTGGTTTGTTTTTCTTTTTTTTTTGTCAATTTTTTTAACCTTTTTTTAATTACTGTAAAGAAAAAAAATGAATTTTTTTCCTGCAGCAGGAAACATATAGTTATGAGTAGTTCTACCTCTTATATCTAGACGCCAGGCTTTCTGTAAAAATGTATTTTACCATATATAATGTGATTTTTACAAACCCACGACACCACAATCCCCAGGGCGTGGCACAGGGCTGGGTCGGTTCCATCAACACCTTCTGCTCCGAAGCATCTGGTTTTCTTAGGTTTATGTTCTTTTTGGTTGGGTATTTTTTTCCATGAGCAATCTTTGCTATGAAGGAGATTGGATGTAACTTAAATGTCTCATGATCTCAGAAGAGTCTTAAACGTGACGTTGGGCCAACGCCATGGACAGATGTTGGTTGTATCCATGTTGTTGATTTCCAGTGTGGGATTGCTTGATTTCCTTGGAACACCTGTGTGTGTGTGTGTGTGTGTGTGTAGTGAGAAGACCCTGGATGTGCTTCAGGCATCAGAAGAAGATGAAGGTGGCCTGCTGGGATGTTCATCCCAGCGCTCAGGTTCGCAAACATCTGCATCCTCCAGCATATCCCACACCTGTTTTCCATCATCTATGGAATCTACCCTAAATCTTGGCTGCTCAGTCCCACACCCAGCGATGCAGCAGGACCAAGCAGGCATGGGTATCCCAGGATTTTGGGGTGGAACCAAGCAAGTATCACCTTGGGAGAGAGGATTTTCTCTCCTTAGTGTGTTTATACCAGTGTGTGCATCTAAACGTGTCTGGAAAATGAATTCCGCAGGGCATGAGGACTACAGGAACACACTACAAGCTTCATCCAAAAATTGAAACAGCTGAACAGAAATTAGCCCCCAGCTGTCCAGGCAAATTCCCTAGTGGAAGGCAACCCCACCACAGAGGTGGTCATGTGCTGCCGCTTGGTCCCTGCAGAACCAAAGTCCTTGTTGGTGAAGTCAAGAGGATTTTCTGATGGTGCTGAGACCTTAAATGCCAAATTTTAGCATCTGCTGCCATGTAGGAACTTTATCAGTGATGGGAGGTGCAGAAGAGCTGTTCTTGTCTTTCCCAGGTGTGCTGTGGGAGCAGCTGGACACCGTGTGTTCCCACCTTGGACTGTGGTGGGGTGAGCCTGGTCTGCTGAGAGGGTCAGTGCTGCAGGAGGGTGATGGAGCAGCGGTGGTGCCTGCACAGCACACACACCTGCACACACACACACAAACACCCTTGCACACACCCCTGAACACACACCTGCACACACTAACACCTGCACACACCTCTATTCATCCCCCACTCACTATTGAGGGGTCTCTGCTTCAGTTTCCATGAAATCCATGTTGGACTTCCCAGGAATCCAGCTGAAAACTGCCCTGAGAAGACATCAGAAAAGGCCTGAAGAGGAGCAGCTCTGGCATCCCTTCCTGCCAGAGGACAGGTGACCTGGGAAGTGCAGTGCTGTCTTCAGCCAATGCTCCATCCCTTGCTAAACAGTGGGGACATGGACTCAAGCATCGCCTGTGAAGTACAGAGGAGCCACTTGGGCTCTGCCCAGACCTTGGATTTGTAGGAATTCCAGAGGAAAGGTGAAACCAGGTGGATTGCAGAAGCTCTCCTAGTTGGCTCAGCAGGCATAGCTTCCATCTGCTGGTGCCTGGTGATGTGTCTCCACAAAACTGAGGTCTTCCACTTCCAAACCATGTTTAATGCACTTGAAGTGTCCTGACTGCTGATCTAATTCTTCCTCTCTCTTTGTGTTGTGTTTTCTGTGTGATCCCGAGGGAGCAGTTGTGCCCAGGATGGGACAAAGGGTTCTGCAGCTTTCCATGAAAAACACCCAACTCTGGGGGCAGGGAAGAGTGCACAGCATGGCCAGGGAAGGTTCCCTGCGCTCCATACCCTTCAGAAACAACTAGAACATGATTTCAGTCCAAATTAAAAACATCATTTCAGTCCAAATTGAGTTTTTTGTGGGAAAAGCCTTGGGTGGGCACTTCAGGGAATAAGTGTGGAGACTGACCCAAAGCCCTCTGAGATCAGAGGTGGCCATCAAAAACGACCTTCCCCCAGCAAATCCAAGCTCCTGCTGGGACCTGTGACAACCACCAGCCACAGCTCTGTCCCAGCCCTGGGAGGGTGGTGGCCACTGGCCTCCAGCCCACTCTGCTCTGTCTCTGGGGCCAGAACACCTTTGTATTCCTATCTGTGTTTTTATTTTGAATCAACACGCACTTTCAAATACTTTTATTATTGTTTTTAATTCTCCTAAGTCTGTATTTGCTTTGGAGGAGAGAATGAAAACTTGGGATGAAATGAAGTGGATCAGGATGGTGGAACAAAAAAAAAA